TGCTAATTCTACCGCTACCGCTACGGCGACGGCCACTGCTACTGCTAGTGCTAACTGCTGTTGCTACTGCTGTTGCGACTACGACTACGACGACGACTACTACTACTTCTTCTTCTTCTGAAACTACTCGAAGGCGGTGGCAGTGGCGAAGGCGGTGGTGGCGGTGGTGGCGGTGGCGGTGGCGGTGGTGGTGGTGGTGGTGCAGGTGCACGTACTGGTTTTCCAGTTTTCCAACACACTCGTGCCTGTACTTTCGCAGCTGTTTGTAAAACGCAGAAATTGGTAAATGTCCCCACAGTTCAATGGGCTTGGTTCCAAGTTCGATGTGACATCTCTCGCTTCGTTCGTCACAGAACCAGCAAGAACCCACAGAGGCTGCTTGCACAGAATTTGAATAAGCTGCTTCAAGTCCATCAAACCCGGTAACCGAACGTCCTACAATCACGAAGCACTGAACCCAAACACAAGTCGTACAGAAATTGCAATCTAAACCCAGATCTCCGAAAACCGCATACCCTAAACACCTGCTTACTCCAAAAATCAAGTCCTCAACCCCGTGCACCCAAAAGGGTGATAGCTTCCATCTGGATACGGGCTGATCTTGCGATGGTAGTGGTACATCAAGCATCCCACATGCCTCCAATGCATGGAGTTGGTGAGGCTTCACAAGCCTCATGGAATCGAAATAAGTAAACTGGTAAACTGGATTGTGCCTCGTCATGACCTCCAAAGCGGCTCATGCTACGTCGTGTTGCCAATTGCCAGGTTGTCATTTTGCAGTTCTTAAATCTTCAACCAACCCGAGGGGTTCACCCAAAATGGCAACAACGGCACTGCGCCCGTTCCATTGGAATGAGGAGAAAGAAGGCTATAATGAGCGGCTAATGACGTCACAGACTCCGCTGGCAGAGAGCTGCACTGCACAAACGGTGCACCGACCGAGGTCAGATATCACGTGATTCAAAGCTGACATGTCTCGCTGAGGACGGGTTGCGTCCACATCACGTTGGCGAACAGTAGGCAGGCCCACAGGAATCGGAACCTAAGGCTTTGTGTTCAGGGCTGAGCAATGAGGGACGACGGACTTGGGCCTTGCGGCCCAAGGAAGGTTGAGGGAAGTTGCATCACGAGATTGCAGGGGGCTTCTCTTCAAGTGGTGGGCCGGACCTTAAACGGCAGCCTTGTTTTGACACGCGAACCCCTACAACCTCAACCGTGAGTCCTCAGCCGACCCCGGTCAGCACGATAAATCCTCAAAGCCGTCTCTGGGCTCCCGAGCCATGCATTGGGCGGTGTGCGCCGCCGCCGTCCGTCGCTCAGCAACGACACTGGCCGAGCGCCTCTGGAAGTCGGCGTTGCGTTCAGGGTTCGCGGGCTTTTGTTCGCGGGCTTTGGGCAGCAGGGCATGAAGAACCATTCAAAGCTGTTGGCCTGCACACTTCCGTTTATATGTTCATAAGCAAGCTGGCAGGACAGAGCCCAGCTGCCTGGCAGCTGCATCCTCTCCAGCCGCCTCCAGGCGTGCCAGGCGACCTGTCTGCCAAAGACCGGTGTCATGGTGGGAGCGGGGTGAAGGGGCTCGGGGCCTAGTAGGCCGCGTGTGTCCGAATCACAGAGCCTAAGTCAATGGTACCGAGCTGCACCGGAGTGGAGGCCTAACGGAAGTATAGTAAAAACCATGTCCTGCTCTGCGCAGCACGAGCAATCGTCGAGCAAGTGAGCGTGTTCTTGCACGAACAACGGAAGGGGTGTCCGTGCAGGCATCTGTGTGCATGGAGGTGATGGTAGGCGCAGGAAGGAGGCAACATGACACCCTAATTACGTTGCGCCCGTCCGATTAAAAAAAATGCAATACTTTTGAAGGGTTTATTAAAGGATATCGATGAGAGCACCAGGCAATCCATCTAGACTCTAGACCCTGGCCTGTGACAGTAAGCTTAAGCAAATGTCCGTGCTGGCAATCCAACCCTGAACCAAAGCCTTAAAGGCAGTATGAAGAGCGATCTTGAAACTGACTTTCAGACCGCAGATGAGAGCCAGTCTCCGGAGCCTTTGAGCCTTGAATCCTGGCAGTATATCTCGACTGTACGCGACAACATCCAAGCAAGGTGCGGCGAGTACCAGCATGGAATGGGACATAGCCATTGCCGGAAGCCAGCGGGAGAAGTTGGTGTTCCCCCAGAGCCTCACAGAAAGGCGGCGGCGCTGAGAGCTGGTCATGCAGCAACTCGATGTGACAGGGGAATACTATGAGGAAGGGAAGTAGTCATGGCTGTAGCACGAGTAGCTTCCGCAAAAAAAACTGAGGTTGTACTGAAAGGAGTGAAAACACGACACAGCCCCAAAGGAGTGAGAACACGACACAGTGGCCATGCTAACTGACTTGAGCAACACGGTCATTGTGGCCGTCGTCCTCGCCATGATCATACCGAATCATACCATGATATTCATCCACCATGTGTGATTGTCACCACTGCCATTCTCACAGCAAGCATCTTCACAATCAAGATCATTCTTGTTGTCTTCGGCATCGTCATCATGTTCGCAGGGCCTGCAAGCGAAAGTTATCTCCTTGGCGTAGGACCTGAAATCGCTGAGTCATGACCTGCCGTGTAAAAGCCATGGCGTTCCAGAGCCCCCTTAGCAACCGGGAGACACTGCTGGCGTCCAGAGTGCGCCGAGCACCGACCGTGCCAGCTGCGCCTGGCGAAGTTGAGCGTTGAGAGATCGTGCTTCAGCAGTTGCTGCCGACTGTGTAGGACATCCTCTTGTTTGTACATGGACCCTCAACAAGCAAACAGTCTGAAATGAAAACGAACTGAAGCTGGAAAGCCAGAAGAGCCGGAGACCGCGTACAGTAGCAATGCCAGCAATCATTAAAGCCAGGGCAAGTCGTCGAGATAACGAGGCTACACGAGAGGCGTGTTGCTTTGAGGCTTGCTGGGTCCGCTTCGGGTCGAACGAAGCTTCAAAGGATCTTGAAACGTTCGTCTTCGGCTTCAGAAAGAACGCAACCCCAAGTAGCCTGAGAGCAATGCGACATCGTCAATCTTGCTCCGATTCCCAAGCACGCTCAGCCTAAAGCACCTCTGGACCCCTGAAGGTCTCTAATCTAACCCCGAAGTCCCGGGCTGGCTAGTAATCCAGGCCTTCTGCCACCTCTGGGACGCGTGGCGCTGCCAGTCCTGCCACGTTCGACGCCACGACTGGCTTTGGGCTTGTGGGTTGCGAGGATTCGAAGTAAAAGGGTTTAGGGGTTCAGTGTGCCTCGGCAGTCGGTAGCTTGGACTCAAGTGCCCCGCCCCACCTCAAAACAAAACAACAAAAACATAAAGAACCGAACCCACCTAATCCCAGAAATCTAACCCTCGACCACCTAAACCCAAAAGTGCTGTAACCCAACGAGGTCCTCCCACGCCGATCTTTTTGGCAGCTCCCGTGCCTCCTTTGGCAAGGGCTGTCATCACGGATTAGCGGCTTCGGGATTTAGGGCTTCAAGGCTTTAGGGAGTTTGTCGAGATTTGTGGCCCAAGTGTTCGAGATTGAAAGGATTTTAAGGCCAGGGCTTCAAAGGGCTGTAGAAGTTCAGTCAGGGGTTTTGAGGAGTAAGATTGCAAGGTTGAATGTCCTTATTATGCTATGGTTCCGGGCTTCGGGGCGTATCCTCAAAGTTCCGAGACCCTGGAGACTCCCGGGAGCTTGAGCTAGTCTTTGGGATAAAGCCTAAATTGAAAGTCGATAGGTCTGGAACCTGGGTCTCATGCCCTTTTGGGCTTCACAGGGCTTAAGGGCTTCTGGGTTTAAGATGATTTAAGGTTTGGGGTTACGAGCAGGTTCTAGACAGGTTTTATGGCTTCGTCCTGCGGGTCAAGAGTTGATGCCAAGTGTCGCTGGCGACTGCCTTGGCATCCTCGAACGACATTTCCGGAAGACGACCTGCCAGTATGATGACTCCGGGTACGAAACTGCCCTATCAGGGCTCGCAGTTCTGGGTCCCTCCGCGTCCTTCCAAAAGGAGCCGACCGACCACAGGAACGGACCAAAAGATTGCGACAACGGAAAGGCTTGCTACCTGTCTCGCAGAAGTTGATTCTCATGCCTAAAGCCGTTTCTTTTGGCAGGGCTCCCGAAGAGCTGTTCGTCTGTCAGACCCTACTGGGCCGGCAAGGCTGCACATGCACGTGGGAACCCATGCGCAGATAAGAAAGTTCTAATTTAGCAAGTGCATCCAGCAGCACGAGGCCCTCCTCAGTGAGTAGGAAATTTCTAGATGCGCTAAAGCGAACGAGGCTGGTCAGCTTCGGATTGTGAGGCATCGCCTGTGCATGCAGACTACCATGACGATGACGACGCTGATGATACATAACAGCATGGCTTCTGATGTTACTAAAGATTGCGGAAACTTGGGATCGAATCCAAGAACGATTCGTTGGGGCAAACCGTGGAACACCAAGCAACGATACGAACGAATATAGCCAGACACCTGCAGCGGCACAGAATCTCTTTTGTACGGCCAGCCTCAGTGTGAGAGGCTGCCCATGAGGCCGCGCTGCCGCATGAGCTTTAAACGTGCTCGAACAAGAGTGAGTCAGTCGAAGCTTTCTTGCTCAACGCTAAATTCGGCGATCGACGAGTCGGTGCTGGTTGCGAGACATGGACTTGAATGAGATACTGATCCTGCAGACTATGATGCCTGTGACTTTAAGCCCTGCATGTCTGAGGTGCTGATATGGATGGGTCAGAAGGGCAAGCTTGCATGATTGCCGTTGGGCTACAGGCCACTGAGCAACAGCAAGTTGACCAAGCGGCCATCTCACGTGGTATCCACATGACATCCTAAAACCAAGGCCCTGTAAGCCGTACAGCTGCAAAAACCCTCAATCCCGGTTCCCAATCCAAAATCCAGCGTAAACCTGCAATCCCAAACCCTCAATCCTGCATCCTAACCTTGAATCCCCAAAGGACGCACACACAAAGTCGCAGGGAGCTCTCCCTCTCTCCTTCTTGTTTCCGAAGACGAGGACGGGAGCCTCCCGCAGCTCCTTCCACAGCGAGTTCTCGGGTTTAGTTTTTTTTTTTTTTTT